CCCCCCCCCCCCCCCCCGCCCCCGGGAATGTTCATTACGGCTCTTATTCTTGTTTATTATCAATCGAATGTGAAGTAAATTTCAGGCATGATCTTACGAGGCTGACTGAGTGAGTGACTTCGAGTAGGTCCGGACAGACGTTGCTGTGCTCACGTGAAATGCGTAGATGCCAGAACATACAAACACACACGCGCACGAACACAGGAGACTGTGNAGCGCTCTGAAGGTCACAGAAACAAACGAATTTGAAGAGATCAAAGGCGTGTTGTTGAAAAAAATACGAGAAAAACGCCAGTTTACCGGTTTTTGCAGCGAAAATATCACTGAGGAGGGGGGGGGGGACATCACCTCGTAACAGTCATCCGTGACTATGCGTAGGTACAGTCGCCGATAGTGCGGACTGTTTTGAGCAGTTAGATAAACACACATGATTTAAACACAAGTACGAAAATGATCAACACGGATCAAAAGTAGCACACACGTGACTTGTTGAATCAAAACAGGACCAGGCCCGGTGAGAGTTTCGACATACAAAAACCGATTAGATGATAATAATAATAATAATAATAATAATACGGATAATGATACGGTGCACGAGTGTTTGAACGCGTAGAAAATATGAGGCCAATGTGGGTAAATGATAGAGAAACAAAATCGCCATCGAACCAAACAAGTAGTGCGATTCAATCGGAACTGGACTGGAGGAAACAGAGATAATGAATGTTCGTATTAATGAAAAAACCTCGGAGTGCAATGCGGTGTATTCACCTCACTACATTGTGAATAAAACTGACTTTCTAATGTTATAATTCCAAAGAACAAAGTCGGGTAGAGGAAAGTGGTCTATTTGAAGAACAGCGTCAGATACGGGGGTAAATAAGACTGAACCGAATAGATCATCAATTGTTGAAACAATTGTTTGGTATTTTCGAGATCGTCTATCCATTAGAGCTTGCCAGCCTAAAAGTCTGTTTGTCTCTTCTGTATGTGCAACAGTAAATGCTTTAATTTATTCGTGGATACCATGGAATCCAACAACCACTTCGTGGTGTGTACATACTACTCACGAGTGTGCGTAGTACCGCACAACACTAAGAGTAACAACCAGCTAGAAAATAATATTTGTTGCTTTCGTTAAAAATCTTCGAAGGGATCAGTGGTGATCGTGAATAATGCATAATTCACTCAGAAATCGCCTCAGAGATGCAACCGAATCCTGTGAAACCAATTATACCGATATGAGCATTAGCTGTATGATGAAGATTGCCGATCGGAATGAGCACACTTGCTCACCGCAACGAGATGACTGGCTGACTGAAGATAGTCAATCTGGTCAGACTGCCGCTGTCCCCCTACCCCGATTCTAGGCGAGCGAATTCCGGTCGTGTAGATCAATGTGTGTTTATATGCGCCCATGTTTACAATCAAACACTCAACCAATTTGCATCGAACAGACTGTGGGTTCGATGAATGAGTGACAAGTGAGATGCGCGGAAGGATAGCGATGAACGGATTTCTCCAGGCCAATGCACGGTGAAAAAATGTGCGTCCTGCGATTCGGGAGGAGGGGTGGGGATGTACATGTGGTCTGAAAAAACTTTTCATAAAAACACAGCAAATACTGGATGTTCTGAAATGGTTGGATAACAGTGAAACGAGACGCAGAACAAGACCATATGGCAGAAAACTGGGGAAGAGTTTGGTACATTTAAAACTTGATGGAAGAGTACGTTTTGAAGATAATCATTAGGGGACCAGTTTTGACCGAAAATCAGAAATCAAACCAGTAAAACAAGCGATTAGGTTATTGAAACAAAGCAAAGTTCGGATGAAAAGAACAACAACAAGCACGACAACAAAGAAGCTTACTCACCTTCAGTGCCTCGGTGATGTGCTGATTAAAGATATCCGCGATGAATTCACGAAGCACACGATTTTTGTCCGGGAACATGAGTGCTTTAAACAATTGTCTGTCCAGAATGTGACCTTGTGGAACAAATCGCGGTTCCGATTTCTGATATTGAGATGTCCTGTGCAACAAAAACGGCGCGGTGCGGCGCGGCGGGGGAAGGGGATACAACGTGGATATGAATACAATTTGCCTTTCAAAAAAGTGATCCAAGTGGAAATGACAAAGATCAATGATTTATCATGGGAATAATTTAAAGCTCATGCTTTTTTGTCCCATAGGTTCGTGTTATGGTTGAAGGACAGTATTACATACAATTTCTTGTGTAAAATGTCACATGATACGGGCTCCGACCACTGCTGAACACAGCTTCGCTTAAGTTGGAATGTAAGGTGTGCTAATGTTTTATCGAGTCTCAGTTTGAAAGATTCAATGCTGGTCGCACAGACGACGTGGGGTGGGAGAGAGTTCCAGATCAAGCACACTCTGACTGAGGCCGGCATTCCAATCGGCATTTTGAGACCACTAATTTGAACGGATGTCCTCTAAGATGAATGTTGGGTGATAATTTTAGCAGCGGGTGACAGTAAACAAGCTACCAAATTGCTGATGATATAACCAACCAATCGGGGGTGATTTGCCAAAAAATGATCTCCATTCGGATGATGGGTGCTCTGAGCAAGATAGAGAAAAAAAAATCAATATCAGAATTGTCCGCACGAGTCGACCTGACGGATGTGGGATTGTGTTCCACGGAGAACAAATTATTGCCTAACCGCGGACATCATCTTGCAATCATCGTTCACAGTTATTCCACCATAATCACTCGATAAAAAAGCGTCTGGGGAACATATGTAAGAGATCATATCCGAATTGGAACGTTTACGGAGGGGAGAAGACGTTCTATCAGAAACGCGATGCGTGGTGCGACGGATGACTGCGGCAGTAGTGACCGCGGCAGCGGTAGCGATGGACAGTACAGAAGAGAGTACGGCTGACAAGGCAATCATATTCAGTCTTATGCACTATCACACCGGGATGATAAAAACGATTGGGAGAAGGAAAGCGGAACAACTACTGAAACTAGTTGATGAAAACTAATACTCTCGGCCTTCGATCTCCATCGCCGTATGATCTGTTTTCAAATCATGGAAATAACCACATGTTTGTTGTTTACTTCTTCCAGATTGCGTGCAACTCAGCGCGCGCGCGCGCACACACACACACACACACACCACCACCACCACCACCTCAATGTGCTTATGATCGTAAATCAAAACTTAAACTGCTTCGAAAGGCGTGTGATATGCATCGATTAACACGCACCCGGGGAAAGCTGGACAAACTGCATGGCGAAACAGGGTGGCGCCGGGTGTCTGGTATTAAAGTCACGAATATCGGTTGAAGTTTGCTACGTTGAATTAAGAGGATCACACACATCACATCACACACAGCTTAATCCAAACAAGATTCACGATATTAAAGTTGTAATTTGCGTGTATGCATGATCCTTTGAAGTGTGAACGGCCAAATAGACTTCGTTTGGAGCCGCGAACCAGGCGTGTGACATTACCGGTGTCGTTTAAAACCCAGGTAGATCGTTTTCAGCCTGGCTCGATTCTGAGTTCACTGATATCCCTTGATAAAGCAGTTTAAATTAAGCAATCAACTAAGGATTCCAGCCAGATACACACATTAGACAACTACAACAGCCAACAACTAGCGCACGAGGTTGTGAGAAGAGTTATCGATTTGGAATGAAGAAGAGGAAGATAACCGAATGCTTTTCGGCATCTGCGGCAGAGGAGAGAAAAAGATGATGATAATGAAAACTGGCACTGCGGTAAGCAGTACGCTAGTATACTGGTTACGATCAAGTGACAAGGCTGTTTGTTTCCCCATAGGTCGCTATTTTGTCGCGGGATGAAACGTGCACATGATCGAAGATATCGTGTGCAAAATCCCGCGGGTGCGGGTGTTGCTCTAAGATGCGATTGATGGGCATCTGAAAAATGAATCTATTATTAGTTTGAACACAATCAAAGGAAACGAAAAAAAATGAACGGTTTCAAGTTTATTCAATGACGCTTAGATGTACTAGCCATTCGATACAATAAACAGACGAAACTACTTGAAACCAACTAACAAGGCAGTGAACGCCGTTTCTATTATATCTTGTCCAATCCTACATACATTACTGACTAAATTGATACAACGTACAGTTCAACTTCGCTGTTTGGGTACAAAATTGTACAAGGGAAGACGTGAGAACAAGATGCCCGGTGTGTGTGTATATGTTTTGCGGACCCAAATTGACCTGAACAGGTCAGGGACGATGCACAAAAAATGACCTCACAGCTGAGAGGATCATAAGTGGGAAAAGTGTGACGAAATGGGGGGGGGATGGAGTGAAGTGGAGCAGAAAGGGACCTTGACATCCAAGGCAACTGATCCCACACGCCAAACACGGATACCAAGAGTAAGAAAGTTGGCACTGCATATACAAATACATGTACGTCGATGCACGTGGACTGTACGAGAGAGGATAAGGTTGCGGGTAGGTGGGTTTTTGGCTGTGCAGTCATCTGCGGTCCGGGAAGGTGTAATCGATGTGAAACACACGCACACACAAGCACAGTATCACAAGTGTTCAAAAGAAGAAATCGACAAGAGACGAGTGCGGGTCGAAAACGAGTGGGAAGGAATGAATCAACCGAATGTGTCACGGCCCAATTGCATCGTATCACACACAGCAAGTAGTCAGTAATAGGAGGGGCGGGGTGAGGTGGGGTGGGGCAAAGAGCACACACACAAACTGGCAGGCATACAGTACAAGTCTGACTTAGGAACCGAATACTCGATAAGGGCACACACCTATCCCCTATAGGGCAGTGCCGTGATTTCCACAACTACATGTGAATCATCTATCTACATATTTATCGACCAACCTGTTCCTGTTTCTGGTGTGTGTGTGTGTGCATCAGGGCTGAATGAAGACTAACGCCTATTGTTGGTCAAGGCGAATCATGCAGATCCGATCGATGGGTTCAACAGATCAGGCTTGAACAGTAAAGAATAAAACAAATCATGTAGTGACTGGCTCGTTGGCAGTCTGGGAATAGAATCGAACTGCACAAACGAGGTGCCCTTGGGCTGGTCAGCGAGGTTCTGGGTTATTTTACAATTCTTTGCTACGATTCGAACCGAACAAATGGCCCCGCGAACGTTTATTCACCAGTCGAGGGGGAAAACCCGTACCGCTGCTTGAGGCAAAATGGTATTCCGCTGTTGTCCGTTCATTTTGGTAGGCTGTTTTCCGGCGACTAGATCCGCTTCCTTCTATTGCTCTCATCCCGATTCGCCGTTGATCCGTTGTCCGGATACGAGGTGTCCGTTCTCCTGTTCTTTCGTATGATCTTCGAGTCTCATCAGTATTCATATTTTGAAGTTGTCATACATGCCAGGAAACGATTATTAGCTGATCCGTAGCGGTAAGCTATGCAATTTTAGCTGATCCCGAGAGAAAATCAGTTTACGCGTTGACTGATCCAATTCATGCGTCTGCGTTAGCCAGCTGAGCAGGCGGGCACGAGAAGTTCAAACCTGAGACCTAATTTGCAGTGTGTGACGTAGCAAAAAGAAAGCGACATATACGCACAGGTTCGAATCTCAGCAAGGACACGAAAAATCTACATTGAAATGAATTTTCAGAGAAACACACTGTCCGTATATTCCAGTGGATGAGGTAGACAATCCAGGGGATCAAATAAACCAGGCGTCGCACCGTGAAACAGTGAAGCATTCTATAAATTTTTCAACACACATAGACGTTTCATGCAACCAGTTCCCCTTAATATTTCCATGAGAGCAAGGAGAAGCATCACGATCACAGGATGTGTTGAAATCAACTATTTCGTGGTAATCTCATCAGCTGTTTACATACATTCGGATCACGTTTGATTAAAAGAGTGACAGGTATGATATCGACAATGACCTGGCGAGCGAACGAGGAGAAATGAGCACTGCGTAGACACACGTCTTTTCATGATGAATAAACGCCTCGGACAAGAAAAGCATTTTGGAGGATGTTTTGTTAGTGAGATTGGTTGTGAGTGACGAGGAAAAGAACAAAACACAAGCACAGTTATAACAAAGCCGAACGCAAACAGCGGATGAATGTTCAACAGGGCAAGAACAAAGACGAAATGGAACAAACCTTGTCGAGGATCGTACGAACCATCTATGGAAGAAAATCAACGCAAAACACTATTGACTTGGGGGCGTGTGTGCGNGAGGCGATGCACCGGACACATTGAAATGTACACGCCACAGAAAAAACAACAGTCGGTGTTCCTCGGTGTTGAGGTAGACAAAAAAGGGAAATTAGGCCTAGAAACGCAACACAGTTGAAGTAATGTTAAATGGGAGGAGGAGCGATGAACGTTACACATGAGACCTGCCGCGTACACATGGGGTTTTGCTTTGCATAGTAGGCTACAATTGACAACTGAATGAATGAACAACTGAACTGTTTCTCTGTTTGGCGGTTTTGCCCCCCCCCCTCACTCCTCGCTTTGGATACGTTGCACAAACGCATGTCCTTTTTCTGGAAATCATGCTTCGATACTTCTGTTTCACGGACATTCCACAGTGCAACACTAGTCTCCGGTGTCGCGCGCGCCAAATTACGTTTCGATTCTGCACCAGACTATTTTTTTTAATTCCTTTCATTTTAGAATTCTGCAAACGGGTTTAAATGCACTTTACCCGTGAGTACAGTAGTTACGTGTGGAGTGGCATTTCGTCGTTTTCTACCCGATCCCTCATTGATCAGGTTCAACCCCAAGTTATTGGTCTAACCGACGATCCCGGGCTTCACGTTTAACCTAACCCACGACCGGCTATCTGTATCCTCGCCTCTCATTTATCGTTCTTGTTAGAGATGCTAGGCTTCTGAGATTAGTTCTGATATGTTTGAACTCCCCTACTCTTCCATACCGATCAGATGGATAAAGAGCCTGGAACAGTGTTAGTTTGATGGCCGATTTGGTGATGAATAGCTCGACTGTTTAACGGTTCAATACCACTCCTAACCTAGCGGAGCCTCGTGTGGTTCGTCTCACCAAGTCCCGTAGGGCTCAGATTGCCGGTCTCCATCACTGAACAGCAGAAGGTCTTCGCGACTACGGAGTTCACTCAGACTGCGATTCATCGCACAAGGGTGTGTAACAACAACGAAAAAAGCTCACATAATCCATTCAAATCGAGAACTAACATATTTGTTTACACTCAAATGTCCTGCCACATCTCATACTACTGATTGCATAAGGTACTCTCTGTTCACTTTACAAACACCTGACTAAAACGGGATGCTGTAGGAAAAATTAGGGAGTCCGGGTACAAATCTGTGAACATCTGACCCAAATTGCTGACCAAATACATCTGTTGTAGTCATACAAGTCTTATGGTCTTCAGACGTCATTTCGGCAAATTATAACTCGCATACTCGTCATCGATTGAGCAACAGGTAAAATGATGAAATCGCATCTGTACCGTTTCACCACAGAACCCCCCCCCCCCCCCCC